CTTGCTTCTGCTGCAGATTTCAATTGTTTTCATATATGATTTCATGATCGAGAGATTGAACAACCAAAGTCTGGTCGTACTACAAAACGTTATTCTTTCGTTTTAAAAACAACAAGGGTCAAACTCTCATACTACGTGCATGAAAGAAGATGGCGTATGTATATTCTACATGAACTTCAATAAACTTTTATCGCTATCGTGCAAAATTCTGTAATGCGGAAACTGACCTGATCGTGATGTGAGAAGACCCAAAAGCAGACTCCGGGGAACTAGCAAGATCTCTGAGTCTGAGTATGAGGGAAACCGTGTAAGAAACCGTTTTTAACAAATGTCACGTGGTGCATTGCGACAAAATAAGCGTTCGTCATTGGTCCAATCCTATTAACGTCATCTCTCACACGTACATTGTAACTAAGAAACCAGTCTGTCATACAATTTACACATTCCCATTTCCGCCATAATGGCCTTGGCCCACCATACTAGCATCTGCAGATAGTAGATACAGTTAGTGGCACTTTTTTTTACAAACATGGCTTCTCTGCCCACTCCTATATATTAAATATGGCGAAGACAAGTAGTAGGTAGTCCATAATCCGATAGTTTTATTCACACATCTTTATATAAATTCATAGTTTTTAGATGAATGCCTATACAAATTCCGCTTGTCTCTAAAGAAAAGTAGTGAATGTTACCTTCAACGTCTGACTGTTTTTAAAATCCATCCAGTTGCTTGTGTAACAATTTCACAAGGTTACTATGTTCGTCATTCCGAAAGCCTTGAGGAGGGAGGCAATGAATAAAATCTAGTTGTGAAGTGTCAAGGAATCTGCACAGTGTGCAATATTCATGATGTAGCCATCTTGATGCCACAAGGACCGCAGTTTTACAATGTATTGTATGTTACTTTATATGTATTCTATTCTTTTGTTGTAACCTGTACTTAACCCAGCGGGTATGTGTGTACAATAGAGGTTTTCATTCATTCATCATTTCTGGGAAATACCTCAGTATCTTGCCACGTAACATTCTTCGGCTCCCTCCCCGAATTCTTCATCTTCACTGATGAAACATAGTAACGGTGTCGGTAACTGAACTTGGTAAAGATCGGTGACCTATCTAATGTGAACTGGTAACACTATCAATAGTTTATCGTGCTAAACCCCATTTGGTTAAACCACATTTGAGTTAAACCTCTCATGTCAGTCTAGTGTGTGGGCAGTGGCGAAGCTGGTTTCAACTTAATGGGCGTAACTTTCCAATGCTGATGTAGTAGCTGGTGATGTCTAAAACTTTCAGTGGCGTCATCATTAACAATTGTCGATGTGCATAACGTTATTACCATTATAACTGTCGATACGTATATAAATTTTTTCCTCTGTTTATTCAAATCATGGAGACAAGTACAAGTACAAGTACAAGTACAAGTACATATACATACACAACTACTTTTAACAAAAAAAATTTTACAGCCATATCCCCAAACTACACGGACCAATCACAAAGACAGAAACTAAAAAATGATGTCTAAATCACTTAGACACAAACAGGTCTTTAGACTGCCATAGATATCACAGATGAAGTTTCTTGACATTGTTGTCTTCGTCAGAAGGACTATGAAATTGTCTCGCGGGTTTTTGGTGAGATAAACTATTACCAAAGGTCTGTGCGTTTGGATGGAACATAGGTCTGAATTAGGGCACCCCCCGTTAGTATTAACTTATTACGCTGATCACAGCTTTCTGCTTTGTCTGAACATTGACTGAACCGACATGAGCGACTTTACTAGATCATCTATCTCATCTACGTTTGAGACTTATTTTTGCTGACCTGCACTAGATTAAGAAATGCTCACTCGTCCGTTATCGTTGCTGGACAACTTCGATATAGGACGCCCAAGTCCTCCGTAGTACTGGTACTGTCACGTACCGAGGTAATGTTTTAAGATTGCTGTCCATACAAGCTTTTACATGCTATCTCTCAGCCTAGAATTTGAATGGGTAGTACCGGTACTGTCACATACCGAGTTGATGTTTTCAGGCTGCTGTTCATACAAGCTATTTCTTGGAATAGAATGGGTAGTACCGGTACTGTCACATACCGAGTTGATGTTTTCAGGTTGCTGTTCATACAAGCTATTTCTTGGAATAGAATTGGTAGTACCGGTACTGTCACATACCGAGTTGATGTTTTCAGGTTGCTGTTCATACAAGCTATTTCTTGGAATAGAATGGGTAGTACCAGTACTGTAACATACCGAGTTAATGTTTTCAGGTTGCTGTTCATACAAGCTATTTCTTGGAATAGAATGGGTAGAACCAGTACTGTAACATACCGAGTTAATGTTTTCAGGTTGCTGTTCATACAAGCTATTTCTTGGAATAGAATGGGTAGTACCAGTACTGTCACATACCGAGGTGATGTTTTCAGGTTGCTGTTCATACAAGCTATTTCTTGGAATAGAATGGGTCATTTCGACTGAATTTGCATTTACCGCACAGTAGTGAGGTGTTGGGTTACTCTGATTTATTTTTGTGTCTTCATACACCGAATTCGCTGTTGCTATACCGTACATCATTTCTTTCTCATCAGACTCAGCGTCTCCGTAATCCCCAGATGTATCAACATTACTGTACTGGTGGATATCGGCTTGTGTAGTAAGGGCCGTGTCAGCAGTAGAACGAGATAGTGCCTCTTCTATACTCGTAAATGACGTAGTTTCCTCCGATTGGAAACGTCGTAGGGAGAAAGTGTTCGTATCTAGTCCATCCTTTGCGTAATTGTCTGCTATATTGGGTACGGCAGGAACGCAGACAATCATAGCTTGCACTCCCACGTGTAATGTTGCATGAAGCGAGTTACTGTTAGTGTTATTTGGGTCGGCACTGGACCGTTTTCTCCAACGCATTACGAAAGCCGAAATAATCATCAGAAAGAAAATTATAGCAGGAACGTTAATGGCAACAATCAACAAAACGTTAGGTCCAGGTGCCTTTGTGGTTTCTAAAGTAATGTTGACAGGAACACAGAATTCATCATTACTTGACCCTAAACGAAACTCAGGTAAACAACACGACATATTCATGAAAGTGGAACAGTTGTCTAGTTTGTTTTTGTCTGCTGTTGCCGTTGAAATTGTGGTCTGGTGTTGCCGCTCCTCGCTATACTTCTTAACCATACACAATACAAAATCATATTTTGCTTTTAGTTGGCCTTTGTCTGCTACAAATGTGTAGACACCAGAGTCATTTACTGTTAAGTTTTTTATGCTGACAAGATTTGTGATATTGAGGCGTCCATTCGGGGTGTTCCAGTAGTAGGTAGCGGAACGTAACCTTCTACCAAACATTGAAACCCCCTTGGTGAAACCAGGTACAATTCTATTGCGTAATATTGTTAGTCTAGTAAGAATGCCATTATTTTCAGTTACCTTGAAGACTGAGGGGCGCATGCCGAAGTATTTAAATCCTACTTTGATAAGATAGCCTTTGTTAACGAACGATCGATTATTTATAGTGTTGGTTGAGTATAAATAGGCCTCAAATATATTAAATTTTGCATACGTAAACCTGTCTGGTTCATCTGGACAACTCAAAGGGTTTCCTCGCAAATCGTAAGAAGTTTCGTTCGGACGTAACGTTTTTATGTCTTTCGGTATGTGGCTGATGTTGTTTAATCTAAGCATGACCAAATAGAGACGTTTACTGGGGATTAACTGGATTGCCCGCATAGGAAATACAGATATACGGTTTCCTGAGAGTTCTAGAAACTCCAAACTTTCCAAACCGTGAAAAGCATGTTCTGATATGTGAGAAATGTAGTTATGTGAGAGGATGAGATTGGTCAACGTCGTGAGTGTAGAAAAAGTGAATCGACGAAGAGAAACTATGTCATTTCTGTCAGCATCAAGGTGGACTAGCTCACGAAGGCCTTGAAACGTCTGTGGAAATATGCTGTTTATCTTGTTGTTGTCGACATAAAGGTATCGTATTTCAGGAGTTTGATTAAAATAGCCGATATGAATTATTTTGTTATTTGACAACCTTAGAACGTAGGTGTCTGGCCTGATAGAGTCTATCGGGACGCTTGTTAAGTTTTGTCCTGTAAAATCAGTGACTTTTCCCAAACTAACTGTTAGCAAAGTAAAGATGATGACGACAGACAGGGATTCCATCTTGCGTCAAGGTACAATAGCCTGCAGTTAAAGCTTCCTGTGGATACAAACAAAAAGGACGAACAAACAATTACAAGAAAGAAACATTCGTTCTCTCAAGCACGGGTTTAGATCCATGGAAATGCATTTATTTCTTAATTGGACAAGGTAGGACGGCTGAAAGCCTCTGCCCAGGGCATTCACTAAATTGCCTATATATTGACCCAAGCTAGTCTATAATTTATCAATAGAAAGCTGATCTTATCCTTGAATACCAGAACTATATATTTGCCCTGCCTTTTTATGGAGATGAGTGAGTCAGATCTTTAAAAAATCACAATGTTAACAAAAATGGTACTCACCGGTTCCATCAAACGATTACTACTCGTAGCATGTTGTGGCGAAACTAGGTGATGAATACATATTTTCTGTGGATAATTTGAAGTAGAGCAATCGCAAAGAGACAACTAACCTGAGGGACACTAAACGGTAGTTGAGGCTTTTTGAAACTACACTTGCTTCTGCTGCAGATTTCAATTGTTTTCATATATGATTTCATGATCGAGAGATTGAACAACCAAAATCTGGTCGTACTACAAAACGTTATTCTTTCGTTTTAAAAACAACAAGGGTCAAACTCTCATACTACGTGCATGAAAGAAGATGGCGTATGTATATTCTACATGAACGTCAATAAACTTTTATCGCTATCGTGCAAAATTCTGTAATGCGGAAACTGACCTGATCGTGATGTGAGAAGACCCAAAAGCAGACTCTGGGGAACTAGCAAGATCTCTGAGTCTGAGTATGAGGGAAACCGTGTAAGAAACCGTTTTTAATAAATGTCACGTGGTGCATTGCGACAAAATAAGCGTTCGTCATTGGTCCTTCCTATTAACGTCATCTCTCACACGTACATTGTAACTAAGAAATCAGTCTGTCATACAATTTACACATTCCCGTTTCCGCCATAATGGCCTTGGCCCACCATACTAGCATCTGCAGATAGTAGATTCAGTTAGAGGCACTTTTCTTTACAAACATGGCTTCTCTGCCCACTCCTATATATTAAATATGGCGAAGACAAGTAGTAGGTAGTCCATAATCCGATAGTTTTATTCACGCATCTTTATATAAATTCATAGTTTTTAGATGAATGCCTATACAAATTCCGCTTGTCTCTAAAGAAAAGTAGTGAATGTTACCTTCAACGTCTGACTGTTTTTAAAATCCATCCAGTTGCTTGTGTAACAATTTCACAAGGTTACTATGTTCGTCATTCCGAAAGCCTTGAGGAGGGAGACAATGAATAAAATCTAGTTGTGAAGTGTCAAGGAATCTGCACAGTGTGCAATATTCATGATGGAGCCATCTTGATGCCACAAGGACGGCAGTTTTACAATGTATTGTATGTTACTTTATATGTATTCTATTCTTTTATTGTAACCTGTACTTAACCCAGCGGGTATGTGTGTACAATAAAGGTTTTCATTCATTCATCATTTCTGGGAAATACCTCAGTATCTTGCCACATAACATTCTTCGGCTCCCTCCCCGAATTCTTCATCTTCACTGATACTAACGGTGTTGGTAACTGAACTTGGTAAAGATCGGTGACCTATCTAATGTAAACTGGTAACACTATCAATAGTTTATCGTGCTAAACCCCATTTGGTTAAACCACATTTGAGTTAAACCTCTCATGTGAATCTAGTATGTGGTCAGTGGCGAAGCTGGTTTCAACTTAATGGGCGTAACTTTCCAATGCTGATGTAGTAGCTGGTGATGTCTAAAACTTTCAGTGGCGTCATCATTAATAACAATTGTCGACGTGCATAACGTTATTACAATAACTGTTGATACGTATATACATTTTTTCTTCTGTTTATTCAAATCATGGAGACAAGTACAAGTACAAGTACATATACATACACAACTACTTTTAACAAAAAACTTTTACAGCCATAACCCCAAACTACACGGACCAATCACAAAGACAGAAACTAAAAAAATGATGTCTAAATCACATAGACACAAACAGGTCTTTAGACTGCCATAGATATCACAGATGAAGTTTCTTGACATTGTTGCAGAATGAAGCTTAAATCCATGTACAATAAAGGTTTATTTGTTTAATTCATACCCTATTAAAGCCCATATAAATACTCATGTTAAACATGTTCACTTAAAGAGTCTGAAGGAGACATTAATTTCAGATATTTTCAGATTTCAGTAATGTGATGAATACCAGAAGCCCCTGTCTTTCTTTGATATTCAACATGCTAGGATACATACATCAGATACAATCTAAAAATATAAACAATCACCATAACATCATTACATCAGTTGTTCAAATGTATATACAGTTGTACTTCACGCTGTTGGCCAGATTTATAAGAAAAAGTTCCCGCTCTACCTTTCCATTTGATACGATTATTGCCATGACTGCTTGAAGTCAAACACTATGAAATACAAATGAGGAGTGCATAAAAAAATTTCTGTAAGCGTATATGTTTCAGAATAAAATTGGTTAAGAAAACAACTTCTCAAGATCCTTCAAATTGTTCTCTATATGTACATAGAAATACACTAGTCAACCAATGATTATACCAGCAAATACAGTACACATTATAAGTCGGCTAAATCACACAAGAATACTCAGAAGGTTAACACCGACTCTGATTTAATAGCTCTGTAGATAGAATACAGACAGTGCTGCATGTTTTAACCCTAAACAGTACACCTGGTGTCCGCGCGGACCCCAGCACTATATATTCTGTAATATCTTTTTTGTTTCTAAACATTTTTTTCTGAAATTTTAGGTAATTGTCACCCACAAAGTTGTCTCTCAATACAGTGCAGAAAACTCCGTTTCTATCATTTCTAAAAAAATTATATCTGATTTTCTTTTGGGGTCCGCGCGGACCCCAGCCGGCTTTCGATCATAATGGATACACTGGGGTTCTTATACATTACCTTATTTCCGTTTTTATATGTTTTTATGCACTCATCGTATGTCTACCAAGTTTTCAGAGAATGGTGTAGTAATAGAATTAAATTTTAATAACTTTGGTGTAATTATGACGTCATATGACGTCAGAGCTAATAATATAATCCGCCATATTGGATTTTGACCAATGACGTCATCAAATTAGCATATTCTATGCATGTAAAATGATCTAACTTATATTTAATTATGTAAGATGTTATTAATGTTGGAAAAGAAGTGTAATTTAATATAAAACTCAGAAAATTTTTATGTTTAAACCAAAATTACTTCTATTTTCAAAAAAACTGCCTGCTAGAAACCCGTTGCCATGGCAACACAAGAAAACATCAACTTACTAGTATTAAACTAATAGGAACTTTTTTCCAGATACATTTTAGGAAAGGTCTCCAAATTTGATACTTCTAGCGCAAGCCGTTTAGCCGCTATCTGAGATCAAAGTTGGGCCTCAAAAGCCCCTTCAGTCTGAAATGGGCTTAAAAATCGGGTATTTCTTCTTGTCTTCTTTTCTTCACCAAAAAATAGAAAAAGTTCAAAATGTATGATTTTTGTATGTAATGTGGACACAGAGGTTCCCACGTCAGTTTGCAAAACAATTCAGCTGGTAGCATGTTAATAATTTCTAAAAATTAGCAAAAAACTGTTCTGGGGTCCGCGTGGACCCCAGGTGTACAGATTAATCAGTCCGGGAAGGTGTACTGTTGAGGGTTAAAGGTTTGATTTTTTGCAAGGAGCTTTACAATACCAAGAAGGTTATTAAACGTACCTCCTTTCTTCTAATGGAACTTAAGTGGCATATAATACATAGTATTAACTTATTACGCTGATCACAGCTTTCTGCTTTGTCTGAACATTGACTGAACCGACATGAGCGACTTCAC